ACTAATTTACTTTAAATTTAGTAGTTAAAGTCAAATACTTATGATAACCACACAATTTGTAGGACCCGCAACTATTTAGGCTCTGTCTGGTGCAGCTGTTAATTACAATTAGAGACGTTAGGCCGCAATTTTTGACTTCCTTGGTGAGAGAGTGGGCCCCAATTTTCTTAAGCAACGGTCAAAAAATCACTTTTCTCTCAAATTTTAAGCTGGCACGGACACAGCCTTAGTATATATTTGAGATAAAATATAATTACTTTTTAATTTAATAGTCGAAGTCAAATAATAATTTAACCATACATTTTGTAGAACACAAAATTACTGCTCACATATCCGCGACTCATTTATATCACCTTTCAATAACACCGAATAAAAAGGACAAATGGAATTCATCAGTATGTGCAAAGAATCTAAAAAAAATTATTTGCCATTCGTATTTTGTACATGTAAAACAATAATATATACAAATTTTGATAAAATATTTTCCTCGCTCTAACATAACATGTGGTCAGAAAAGCGTCACCTATGTTAATTAATTGAAGCAGATAAGAATGCGACATACGGGATGAATATTACCCTTTAAAAGAAGTCACAAGCAAATCATGTGTATTTTTCACAGCAGAGGGACCCACATATGCAAATTGCCTTTCCTTTTCTTTTCTTTTTCTTTTTTCTTTATTATCCTGAACAAGCAGAAATCTGCTATTTGCTGATGAGATTTCCAGCCAAGTTCATGATAACTTAAATAGAATATTGATAATATGATGGATATATTCAAAGTGGAATTCTTTGTGTAAGTTTATGATTTCTCGTTCATTGTGGTCCATTTACCATATCAAAATGACACCACAAAAAGATTGTCGGTCCATAATATATAGTACATAGGTGGTGCCTTGGTTGTGATCGCAATATTATGGTTGTGCACATAAATCGAAAGTTTGAAGAATTGAAAGTCGAATTGACTTGTTTAATTCAGTTCATTCGACTCGAGAATTGACCTCTAATTTGATCCTGATTAAACTTTTGGTCATGGATTTAATTCGAGTCAACATATGATCCGATTAGAAGGCGACGTTAAATTCGCAATGAGATTCTTTTGTTACTTAAAACCAAAGGAAAGCAAAAAAAGTAAATAAAACGAAAATGGCTATTCTAGTAAAGAGAACATAAATAAAAGACAACCCGGTGGACAATTCGGTAGGCAAAGCTATGGGGTCAAAAAGCAATTTAAAACTTTTAAAGATTTGACACTGACAACTGAATCCACTTCAAATTGGCCATCAAAATTGACTGGCCTAACAATTGTGGTCATGTAAAGAGTGATTCAGTCAATGTTAGGTGTTTACAGGCAGGCCTGCTGGGATTTTGATCCTAGTACTGTTAGGTTGAAGAGGAAGAAGACGAATTTAGAATTGCGTTACAAAGTAGGAAAATGAAATGCCATTAGGGGAGATGAATTGTTCAATTTCGATTTCAATTCCCTTTTTTTTCGATAACATATTTCTCGTTTTTGTAAGAGGCGAGACTTGATGGATCAAGTGAAGCTTTATTTTGATTGAAATTGAAGTTTCTTTAAGTTAGATTGATTAAAATATATGTAATCATAGTTAAGTGACGTGTTTTAGTGATATTGATATACAAAAAGGGTTACACTCAATCGATTGAGTATTAAGGAATTTCAGTAATAATGCTGTTAGAATTTGGATGTAACCCGAATTCTATTGAAGATTCTATTTGAGGTTTATTGGGAGTTGGCAGTATGATTTGAAGGAGTTCAAGTTGGAATAGGATAAGGAATCGTGCAATGGGCTTGCTACCCACTCAGGAGCCCCTCGAGCGCCCATAACAAGGACTTAGCGCTCACTAAGCGTCTAGAACCATTTGAGCGGCGTTCTTATCTTGGAAATCCTTGTTCGCATTTTTTGACAGTTTCTTAAATTATATTTTATCTCAAACACTCCATTATTATTTAGACCTATTATATTAGGACTTCACATTATCTTAGACTCTTCTTTGTATTATAAATATGAGGAGTAAACCCTTTGAAAAATTTATCATTACATTCTACACAATTTGTAATCCTCCATATTATTGATATTAGTGGATTTTTCTCTTCTACCCATGATTTTTTCCCGAATTGGATTCCACGTAAATCTTGTGTTCTTGTTTTACTTTTCATATTGCTAATTCCCGCTTTATTTCTATCAATATGATATCGGAGCGATGTTTGATTTTGTGTGATGACAACTATGAAAAATATTATTTCACCTTTGGATTGCAACACCAGATTTTCGTTATGATAAATGAAGATGCAAGTAGTGGTCACTCAGATAGACTTTGATGATGCCTTATTGAGATTTGATAAGATCTCCTCATCTTGGACATTGTTGGAGAAACAACGTAAGAATCGAAATGTCCTATCTCAAATTCATCTTCATCTATAGAATCATATTCTTCAGGATGTCTGAAAGGAGAAAATCGTTGTTGCCTTAAGATTGAAATAAGATCAATTACTCATGACGAAAAGTCTAACAAGTAAATTGCACTTGAAGTAACGATTGTATTCTAATCATTTGATAGAAGACACGTCTCTAGAATACCAATTGACTGTTTTTAAGGAAATTGTCACTGATCTGGAAACTTGGATATTAAGTATACTGGTGAAGATGGAGTCCTGGAGGTTAGTAAAGGTGCCCGTATTGTGATGAAAGAGTAGAGAATGTCTCAATTATATATCTTACAGGTTTCTATGAAATCTTTTTGATACAAATCATTAAAAATTAAGCACTTGGGTGGAGCTTGAGATTGGATCAATACTGCTGGAGTTTGGTTCGAGGTCTATATTAGAGAATACATCTCAGTCTAGTTCAAAAGTTAAGAGAAATGCCGCTTTCCCACCCTACCTCGGTGCCACAGTATTTTATTGCTAAATACGGATTCAGAAGAACAGAGGTACATTAAGGCTGATTTAGTTGCTTGTGCTTTGAATGTAGGCAAAGATATTAAGTCTAGTTAAGAACCTTCTACATAAGCAGTTAGTTGTGTTGATTCTGATTTTGTTGGAGATCTTGGTAAGAAAAGATCTATTACAGGACATGTTTTTGCCCTATTTGGTATTTGTTGTTAAGTTCGCCCTAATAGGCATTTATGGAAGAGATAAAGAGTTTTATTGGAAGATTTTTCATTGAAGAGTTAAGTTTTGTTCCTTGCAATAGAATTTGTGTCAAGGTAGAGATCTGTTAGAATTTGGGTGTGACCCGAATTCTATTTGAGATTTAATGGGAGTTGGTAGTATGATTTGAATGAGTCTTAAAGGAGTCCAAGTGGGAATAGGAGAAAGAATTGTGCAACAACGATTGCTACCCGCTCAGGAGCTGCTCGAGCGCCAATAACAAGGACTCAGCGCTCGCTAAGCGCCATGCTGCCGCTCGAGTGGTGATCTTATCCGAAAAATCCTTGTTCGTATTTTTTGACAATTTTTAAAATTCTATTTTATTCCAAACACTCCACTATTGTTTAGATTTATTATATTATGATTCCACATTATCTTAGACTCTTCTTTGTATTATAAATATGAGGAGTAAATCTCTTGAAAAAAATCATCCTTACATTCAACACAATTTGTAATATTCCATACTAGTGATATTAGTGAATTCTCTTCTTCTACATGTGGTTTTTTACCAAATTGGGTTTTCGCATAAATCTTGTGTTTTTGTTTTATTTTTCATAATGCCAATTCCGGCTTTACTTCTAACAAATGTAAGTAACCAAACTAAAGTGTCTTATATTTGGAGGACAAAAGTATTTGGTTTGAGGTTCCATTTTAAACTATTAATATTATTAAGAGGAGTATACAAACCGTTGTACATTGATCGTTTTCACCCTTGACGTGCTCCTGCAAAAATTTGGCTTATTGGAAAATATCATTTTTGAAGTTTGACTGTGCTTTTGAATTTTAGACGAATGAAATTACTCGATTATATATTTTGTGTTCTAAAATCACATCAAGTCTCAAAATACCGCATTAAAAGCTAGTCTTATTAAAAGTAGTAGTTCGGCACCTTATATTAATTAAAATTATCATATAAAAAATTGTAAGCAATGTGAAATTTTACAGATTTCTACTAGTAAAGGAGAACTTTTGTTGGTTGTCTTTCAACGAAAAAGTAGCGTAGAAAGCAAAATTCAATCACTAAAGGATAAAACGCTTTCTTTGTTCGATTCCTTCTTTCTTTGATTTTTGTCTTTGCTTCGAAATTTTTCAGACTAATTCCTTGATTTCAATTCTATACCTTATCCTGTTTAGTAGAAATTAAAATTAAAATTTTAATTTAAGTTAAAGTCAACGATAAATTATAATCACTCATTTTATGAGACACACAACTTTTCAACAATACATTTCATTAATTTTTTATCAAAATCTACTAAAAATTTAATTTTAATTCTCATTGAATATGGATCTTATGTTATCATTACTCTACGGAGTGCATAACAAAATTGAATAGTATTGAAGAAATAATGTTATGTGCTATTCAATCAATATGCACTCAAATATCATAATTAATTGCATGTGTTTATGCCATACACGATGAATAGTGTACTGATGCAAGTTACCCGCATCAAATCACTCATCTTTGGATATATTTCCTTCCATCACAAAAGTTAGCTGTATTTGGATTAAACAAGCATTCATTACCTTATCCAAACTTCCACCACCTCCATAATAAACCCATTAACAAAAAAAAGAACAAAATATCTAAAGACAAGATAAAAAGAAGAAAATGAAACTAGCATTAAATAGTATTATCATATAGAAGTTCACACGGAGTATTATATTTTCATTCATATTATTATCGACTTGTACAAGTGACTTGGGGATACATTAGATACGATGGACTTAACAACATTAAACCGTAGTATCAGAAAAGATTAAACACCTGCAATCTCGTTGATTACATTGTCTAGTCCTATTCGGTATTGTATACCAACCACGTACTGGCTCATTGTTTAACAACATTGAGCTCAACATCAAAACCGGGTTTTTCTTCTTCGTCAGTCCATACCCTACTCTTGTATTGATAATGACGAGCAACGTAGAGAAAGTATCCTAAATTCAACACACCCAATGCAGCAATGAGAAAGTAGAAATTTTCAACTTTTCCAGCATTAATATCTTTAGTCAACCAATCAGGTTGCCCATTTTTCCCCCTAGTCACATTGTGCACAATATTCACCATTAGAGCACTAAGATAATTAGCCCCAGCAACAGTAACGGAGAACAAAGAATTAGCCACACTGCTCATATTTTCAGGGAACTCCTTGTTATAAAACTCAATCTGTCCAATAATATTAAATGCCTCAGCAAATCCCATAAGTATCAACTGTGGAGCAAGCCACATGACTGATATTGGTGCAACCCCGTCATGTCCACCATGCTCTAGAGCTGACGCTCGTCTCTTTCGCTCGGCTAATCCCGAGGCAACCATAGCAAAAATTGAGAAAACAATCCCAATTCCCATTCTTTGGAGTAGAGTTATACCCCCTTCAATTTTAGTGACTTTTCTAAGGGCTGGCACAACAACCCTGTCATATAATGGAAGCCATACCCCTATTGTTAACATGGATATAACTGAAAGGGATCCAGCAGGAATTTGAAAATGGGGGCCCAAATGGCGATCCATTTTCATGGCTTGGGACAGTGTAAATGTGCCTTGTTGGGCCATTGAAAGGAAACAGATTATGCCAGAGGCCCATACTGGGATTATTTTTAATAGGCATTTAACTTCTTCAGTTTGTTGGATGCTGCATAATCTCCAGGGTTTGGCATTGGAGCCATCTGGCTGTAATTCACCTTCCACTATTATTGCAGCTCTGTTCAAGAACCTAAATTAACAATAGAAAATATCAGCATCGACCGTTAGCCTATCACCCATTTATGAAAATTCCGTCCCTTTAAATTATGGTATAGAAAAATAAATTTGCTACGTATACGTGTTTTATTAGGCATCTCAAAATTTTTGTATCAAAGCATTCGACGTGTGATAGGACTGGAGCTACAATGGGAACACTAGACTTTATTTGTGTCTTTTTGATATGTACTATGTACACAAGACAATGAGTGGAGTCTACCGACTTTAAAGGGGTCCCATTATTTTCTGTTGTATTAGGCTGACGGCCATGATCTCTTTTATCTTGTCATTATCAAATACTTGAAAATATGACAAAAATAATAACTCGCTTTTAAATGCAAGCTTTGGAGTTTTCTAAACATGTGAATTGTGGTTCGAGACTCTTCCACATGAGTGCTGGCCATGGTCATGTCAAGACTTTATGATGGCGTGGTTAAAAATTACTTAAAAGTATTTACCTGTACTTATTGGTTAAAGAGAGCTTTTTCACAATGGAACCCTCCTTCAATGGTGGATCATAGAAAATTCCGTGAACATCTCCTTCATTTGGAAGCTTAAGCTTGCGTTTCTTATAGGCCGCAACTAGAGATTGCGCGATGCCGGAAAATATGCTACCCTCGGGTTTTACGTGCACGTAAAGTCTCGTCCCGATAAAAAATAGCACGATGGAGCATACCATGAGCATGGTTGGGATGGCAAAGCCCCATGCCCAACTCACTGAATCTTGAATATAAACCACAACTGTGAGTGCAAAAACCAATACGAAAGTAAATGTGAGGTAATACCAATTAAAGAAGCTATTAATTCCCTTTCTTCCTTCCTCAGTGTTGGGGTCAAATTGGTCCACCCCAAAAGGGATGCTGCACGGCCGAATGCCGCCACCGCCGATGGACAGAAACACTAAGGCAATGGCCAAAACGGCAAACTGCAATGTCGTAGGACCCATGCAGTCATGGCCTTGTGATGCATGACATGGAGGTGGAAGCAATTGAGGGATCCATGCTATGAGTGTTAAAGTCATCATTCCCTGTCCATCAAGAAATCAAACATATATCAAAATTCCAAAAAAATAAAATAAAATTCCAACTAATAACAAAAAAATAATTACATAGTTTTCCCCAAATTTAAGGATTATTTAATTGTGGTGGGTGATAACAATTAAAATAAAGTAATTAAATACTCTTTCTGGTGTATTCTAAGAATTTTGGCACCACAATGAAACCAACTGTTAATTGTTACTATATAAAATTGATTTCAAATTACTGTATGGTATGATTAAACAATCAGTAGCAAAAAGGATGTCAATATCTAACCAAAAGTGCAGTTTAAGTCATTAGGCAATAGACATAATTAATTAATATATTGAGCAAATAAATCTTTCCTATATTTTTGTATTCTACAATTCATAATCAATCTTTAAATTAATTATATTTCATCCCATAAGAAACGGTTATGCCTAACAAAAATAGTGACTGATTGTGAAATAATATACATTTTTTAAAAAAAAATTAGGAGTTTTAAATATTTGGAGACTGATCCTACGACCATTTTTGTCATATCTTTTCAGCATCGATATGTGTGAATAATAAATCAAAACTCTCTCTCTCTCTTTCGTCGTCGTGTAGTAGCCAGTAGGAGGATGCAAGTGTTATCTGAAATTTGAGCAGGTAATTTTTTTTTTTTTTTTTATCCCAGGAAAATACTCCAAGTAACGAGTGACTCACGGGTTCTAAATAAGAATAATGCTATCTAAGTACTGTAATCGTTGAACAAATATTCAAAATCGAGTGCGCCTCGCTAGATGTTTGTACAATGTATTGGATCGAGTTAAACGTACCAAGAGAGAACCAAATTGAGCATAAGCAATTGTCTTGAACCTGCCCAAGTAGGTATCTGAAAGATATGCACCAACCAAGGGAGCAAAATTTGTGACACCAGACCATATGCTAGTCACATTTGAAGCGGTAACTTGATCCATATGATACTGTGTCAACAGGAACACCATGAAATTTGCCAATAGCCCCACTGAAGCTAGCCTCTCAAATGTCTCATTTCCTGCAAAAATAAACTAATTGGCCGTCAAATCTTTTCAAAAAGTGAATATGAAAAAATAAACGTTAAACAAGATTTTAACTCCTTTTTCTTCGTATTAAAAAGTGTATACACGTGCAGATGAGTGTAATGATAATTTGACAAGTGTTCATGCATAGATCAACTTTGCACATGTCAGTTGGTGAGTGCATCTTTTGTGTTTGTGTGAGAGAGAAACCTAAGACAAATGGCATGGCCTTCCATCCACCGGGCTTTCTCCTGGCAGTCTTTGATTCCGGCAAATCGCCGCCGTGGTACTTCTCTTTATCATCATATTCACTTTCCGACAACTGCGGAGACTTGTAAGAAGATACAGGGAAGCCTTTAGTGCAGCAAGCAATCCAAGAACAAGTTAATTTCTTCTGTTTACTCTCTGAATTCTCCATCTTTTCTTAGAAAAATCTCTCTCTCTTTCTTTCTCTCTCTTTCTCTCTCTAGCTATATCGTCTATGGGCTCTCATACTACGTGCAGTACGTGTGCTCAAGTGTGTGTATTTATAGAAACATTTGAGTCAAGGGCAGAAACAAAAATACCGGCAAAAGGAGGAAGAGTGCAATTTTTAATACTATAGTAATTGTGATGTCTCCATGTTTGGCTCACCTTAAAAAAAAAAAAATCACTTATATAATATAAGTTATAAATATTAGTTTAGAATTAAAATAATTAATTTTTTTATTTTTATTTTTTAAAAGTGATCCAACCATCATAGTGATATAGTATTTAAATTGTGAAATAAAAAAAATAATGATTGGATTTAAAAGAATATTAGTGGAGTATGCTTCATTGTGATCACTGACCACTTTATCATAAATTCTATAGGCTTACTACCTGCTCATGGGAGTCTATGTTTTCCACTTTGCTTAAGTCAATACGATTGGATTTAAATGAGATACTTAGTTGGTATCAAATTGATTTTGGATACTAATTTACTAAGATGATTTTAGATGGATACTATTTCTAATCAATGACCTTTATTAGGTATCTAAACCATGTGGTGATTACAATGTGAAATGAAATAAGCCTTCAAAATGAGCTCAAGGAAAAGATATAAGCCACTGTTTGGTACACATTCATATTCATTCTTCTACTCATTTTCAACCACACATCTTTCAATGAAATAATAATTTTCATTACATCAATAACTTTTCCTTTCTTTTCAACCACACATTCTCCATCAATCTACCATTCTAAAATACATTCTTCCAAAATAATGTGGATCAAACACACCCTAAATAAACTTTTTTATTGTTTGCAATTGGAATTAAATCCCAAATTGGAAAATGAATCCCACCACTCGAGCATCCGAGCTCATGACTTGGGTTCGACCCTGTGTATGTTGCAAAGGATGTAATCCGGACTATTATATCGCACCCAAATTTGAAATGTTGTAACATAAAAGTACATGTCGATTAGTGCCAAAGGCTATAGCAATTCAAAAAAGACATGAAATTTTATATGTAGGGACCCTCCTAGGATTGAGAATTAATTGATTTCTAAATCCTTATTTCATGAATCTTGGCTGCAATTTTTTTTTTTTTTCAAGTTCTCTCTCTTTGACACAGTTTGGATCTTTATATTTGGATCCAATGGTACAATCAAAATTTCTTTTGCCTGACAAGAATAATATCATGTTATATTATTAATATTAAAAGAAGTTTTACATTTAGAGGGTGTTTGGTAGAAATTAAAATATATTTTAACAGATTGTGATAGAAGTTTTTGAAATGTGTGGTTGGAAAATTGTAGGACTCATGAAAGATGTAATTAATATTGATTGTTTGACTTTGACTTGGATTAAAATCAAATTTTAATCCGAACCAAACAGGGGCTTAACAAAATAAACATCCATAAAAACTTGACAGCGCAACTTATTTAAACAGTTTAAAACGTATGACAGCTAATCATGCTTAATGACAATAGTTAACCATAAAAATAAATAAACTTAAAAAATTATGTCAAGTGAAGTGATGGGGTTTTAGGCGTGGTGGTAGGCTAGAGAATGATTGGGGTATTTCAAAATTATTAGGATCATTTTTCTTCGTCTCTACCTGCTCTTGTTAAGAATAACTCACGGGTCAATTTGGTATCAGAATCAATAAAGTTTGATTGAGTTATTGAGCGGTGAGGTTCTGAGAGATATATGTCACTAAATTCAATGCGAAATATTTGAAATATTAAATAGGTATTTGTAATTCTTTATTTATATTTCTTTATTCTCTCGGTGAATTTGTATAATAATGTCCATTGTTTTCTTTTAATTTTTACTTCTTTAGGTGATAGAAAATTTCATACCGTGCACAAGTATTGCGTTGAACTACTCTCTCTTAAAATTTAGACGATGTAACATGCAAGAAATATGGATTCGAGTATTAGGCATTTGGATTTGGTGCAAATTAAAAATTAATATTTAGTTTTGCACATAAAATAGATTGAGAGCATCTAGTTAACATTTTTAAATCGAGGTGGACCCCCTCCCATGTGAGTGGTTGTCAATCGAGGTTGTACAAATAGCATTTTCCTAATAAATATGATTTGCTTATTTGTCTATTTGTGGAATGCCCTTTTAACCTTTGTCTTGTTCTGTGAAATATCCTTCTAACATTTCATTTTGACGCAAAACCCCCCCTAGATCACGCAAACGTTGTGGAATATCCTCTATCGTCTAAATCCATTAGTTTAGGCATTAAAAACAGTGATCAAAGCCAAATTTTATGTTTAATTTATCCAATGTATGGATAATCTAGGAAAATTTTTCGCCAAAAAAAGTATTCCAAAAAACAAGCAAATGTTACTTGCATGTTGGTCAACTTAAAATTGAGGGGCGTCAATTATCAAGTCGACAGATATTTATTTCAATACGAGCATATCGATGCATACATAAGGTGACCTAAACGGTGTTATAAATGTGAATGAAGTGAAAACCAGTGTGGGAAAGCATGAAATTTAGGACCTTACCTCGTCACTTGTGCAATCTAAAAACATTCAGCAAGTAAAAGTAGTTATCAAACAATGACGTAACTCAACTTCTATAATCATTTTTTTGTTAATGGCACGATTTAGTAAGTTTATATTTAGGAGAAATTTTGCTCACTTGTCGTTTGAGTTATACTATTTTATCTAAAATAACTATTCTAATGGAAAACCTTATTCATTAATTATAGATGTCTGATTGTTTTTTACATGTTTAATACGTGAACGAATAGATGACTACATATTTGAGTCAAGTGCCTTTATTGGCTTTGATTTTGTGTTCAATTATGTCATTTAAAAGTTGACGTCATTAAGTAAGAGACTCGTCTGTTTGTTTGTATTATATCTTTCATAGTTTGTCCGATTTTATTTTCTTTAAAAACTGAGCTTCGTCACGTCACGTGGGTGAGAATTTGATGGGTTGGTCTCAACAAAATCTAACAAAGTTCGATTTGCATTCTATTTAAAAGTTTTTCTTCTCTCTCTTTAACTTATCTTTTGAAGAAATCTTGTCGATTTTAGCATTTTGGTGAAGAGTTCTCAAATATTTTCAACTATATTAACATTTTCTTAATTTGTATAAAAAGGAAACAAGTTTATCTTTATGGAACGAAGTGAGCAGTTAAATACTTGATGCAATAAATATTGAAGTATTAACTGAATAAAGTATACTAAAACAATAAACACTGTCGGTTCAATAGAGTCATATTAAATATAGCGTTAAAAGAGCCGAGTTGATAAAATTTGAGGATTTACAATTGAATTGAAATGAAAATTCCGAAAAATATGAGATTTCATTTCTACTCATATTAATAAATGTCTTTGGGCTTTGACTTGTGTGCAATTCAGATAATGTCCAAAATCAACAATGTGGGTGGTGAGTACTCATAATGCATTGAATTTACATTTATAACACCACAACAGAGCCTCATTAGAGCTTCTGACCTTCAGGGTATGGCTCCACATTAAGAATGATAAATATTAGCCCATGCCATTAAAGCCCAAGTTGGCACGTGCCTGGCACGTCACGCTCAAGTAAATTTGGCTCGATGTCGAAGAGATTGATTGCTCAAAAGGAGACGAGTCTGGAATCTAGAATGACTTTTTGCTTGATCAATGGTCACCGAGGCACAAAGATGGATGCTTTATGCTATAGTTACATAGAATTTTTATCATTTTTCCGTAAACTTATTTTAGGATTCTGTTCAATTAAATTTGAATCCACGAAGAAGAGACTAATACTCAAAGAGAAGGGCCAAGAATCTTGAATGACTTCATTGCTTGAACATCGAAAGCACAAACATGCTTTAAGTTGCATAGATAGAACTGTTACCGTTTTTCTATCAATTTTTTTGTACCGTCCTTCTCAAACTCTCACGACGGGCTCTCAAATCTTTGGATAAAAGTAATGATAAAATGCTATTACCAAAAATTAGAGGAAATTACTCCCTCTCTTGGTAGAGATTTTTGGAGAATAGTTTTTGTGAAAAATGGCTTTTTTTTTATTTGTTTTTTATTTTGAAGAACGCGTAATAAAAAGTAAGGAAAAATTATGAATTGTACCATTTCTTGATTGTGGATCTCCACTTTGATCAAAATCTCTAATTCATCATACGTTTTAGATTCTCCATTAAGAATATCTCTCCAAAAGGGAATCGTCCTTCTCAATCCGGTCCTCAAAAGCGGAAAAGCAATATCTTTTGAAATGTTTTTCACATCAATCATTACTTTGAGTGAAACGATTAAAATAGCCCTTCAAAGGCTCTTCGGGACCCTGCCTCATATCATGGGTCCTTCCTTCCAGGGAGAACGTGTCGATGCTTTGGTTCTTTAGGTTGAGCCAACTAAATATAGCCCGTACAAGTTTATTGTACGGCTTTTTGGCTACTTCAGAGAGAGCAATATGTAGGACTGGACATGATCCAATTTGGATTACATTAATTCGACTATGACAATCTTAACCCTTACAATAATGTAGTCCAATCCGATGAGATCTTTTGCACATTTCTTTGTTGAGTTATTCATAAATTTGACTGTTAAAATTATAAGAAGAGAAAGATAGCAAGTTTACAATAAGAAAATGACAAAAACGACACTATGGTAGAATAAAAGATTTAGGTAAAATTTAGATAAATTTGATTAAGTTGGGCTTAGCTGAAAATTGAAAGTAATAAAATCATATTTTAGATTTGAGTTAAATTAATTAGTTAGAAAATTCAACTAGAAAAAAATAATTTGACTTATTTAAGATAAAAAAAAATTTTAAAAATTAGTGAGATTCGGTTCTAGGTCTAGAATAGAGAAACGAACCCAACCTATTGATTCTCGATTTAGATACTCGTTCGAATATTTAATTTAAAAAGAACGATTCGATTCGAAAATTTTATCCAGTCCTAATAATATGAAAGTCTCGCCATTTGTGTACGAGGCTAGCTCTCAAGAAATTCATACAAGTGTTGTACTTTCAGACAGTCAACAAAATTGCATTTCATACAAAACTTCCGCATTTTCGACATTTGGAATTTGCTAGGGCCTCCCAACATTTTGGTCACCTCGAAGAAAGGGGCATATTCGTCCTTACCACCTATCTTCTATAGCTTGAGCCGCCTGCCCCCATTCTTTCTAGGAACGAAGGGAGAAGTTTGATCCTCGCACTTATTAGCTTCTTCTTGCCCAACTCTCTTTAGATCCTATCACAATGCTACTGTTTTGAGTCCAATTTTCCTCATTTTAAAATAGCAGATTGATAAAGAACGTCTAATGAAAAAATAAGAAATTTTTTTGGATTTGCATATAATATTATTTTATTAAAAAATATGTAGTTGAAAAGAAAGAGAAAAATGTATTTTGAAAATTATGAAGATCAAGCAAGAGCTAAAATTTCTTCTTTCATAAAATCCTTATCGTTAAAACTTCAATTTTTTTAGTGAACAACCATGTCTGGTCGGGTCGGGATGGAGACAATCATTCCGCCCCCATCCCATCAATATTTTTATCTTCTCGTCCCGCGCCATACCCGAGTAAGGTGGGATGGGAGCGAGGCAAGACTAGTTCCTTGCCCCTTTGCATCCCCATTATTTATTTTTATCTTGTTCTTATTTTTTTAATATTTTTAGTAAGTGAAAATCTTTACTTTTTTTTTTTTTAAAATTGTAGAAATCCATTTCTCCTCTAAAAATGTCTATTATTTCCTTTTTATGTGAAAAAAAAATTAGTATTTTGAAATGAATTTCAAATGGGGTGATGACCATGTTCCTCGAACTCTTCCCCCTCTCATGGCAATGACCCCCACTCCATGTACTCAATTAGACAAGAAATCACTCCTCATTCGAGGTAGGACTCTGTTAGTATCGAGTATACCGAATTTTTTTGTTATCACTAAACAACATTGTGGACGCTCACCGTGCTTGAACAGTGTCAAATATTGTTCACAATATTTGAGCATTACTGTAATAGTGAAAAATTTCACTCTTTTTTTTTTCAAATTATCTAATTGAAAATACCCTAATATCACAGGCGGCGTCACAAATTATCGAGTGCCTCTAAAAACTACTTAAGAGTTCGAAGTAACATAAAGAAAAATTTGTATGGTATACTGTCTTCAACTCAATAAAAAGGCTAGTGATTACATAACATGCATAATAATAAACCAATATTCTCAAAGCAAAGTCACGGGTTCAATAAGTTTAACTTGAAAAGAAAAATGTCCATAAAAATCGCTTGAAACCATAAATTATTTCATGGATGTATATAATAAATGCCGTCCGTAAACTATCTCGTACCTTAATAAACCGCTAATTACCTGTTAAGGGGAATAAGTAATGGAATGATATGATACTCAATAGGGAACTTTTTAAAATGAAGAACATATGGGAACTTTTTCGCTCCTTCAATTGTTGCAGAACTTGTCCAGTAATAATATTCTGTATAATTCCTTTTGCATTATATGAATTCAATTGCTTCCTCTATCTAGGTGACTGCAGACAAGACTGAAAATTAAAATTCACATAAAACATTTTCATAAGAAACATTATATTTACTGAATTCTTTAGCAATATGGTAATAACAATTATGGTTTAGAAACAATATATTCGACTTTTTTACCATCTACGCTTGGACAGCACGTTTCTACTTGCATATATCTTGGTTTCAACCTGAGTTACATTGCAAAATTAGATATCTTCTTACATCGCAAAATTTACACGTCTTGATTGTTAGTGACGCACAGTATTGAATTGCAGAGAAAGATGGAGAAATCGAAGACAAGAATCTTTTCTCGTTGCCTGAAGTAGTATCCTGGTAGATACGAGGTTGGTTCATTTTCACACCTCGCCTATGTTTTCAATAGAGATGCTCTTGATTCTCCGAATGTATAGAGAACAAGGTCAATGCAGAGTTTCTTCTTACGGTTTCTGTCTTGATCTTTTGCTTTCCCTCTCAATCAAATAGTGTAAAACAGCAAAAATCAAGGCTTTGGAGTTCCCACTTCAAAATCATGAAGCACATATTTCAGGCGATTTCATTGTGGAATTGCCAATTTAATAGAATCTCTTCCTACGAGATGAGGCATAAAGTTGGATGCCGAGCCTAATGATCTTATTTCCTTGCATTTGCTTATCTAATTCGAGAAATGCCCATCAAATGTCCTTGTAACATAGGAAAACCCACTCCCACAATAGACTCTGGATATGGCATGTTCCTCGGCTAGGTTATGATCTAAGCTCACCACGTGAGGGTCAGTTTGGTCAACAGTATCCCCCAAGCCAAGCTGACCGTGTTCACCCCAACCCCATGTCATTACTGATCCGTTCCCTGTACATTTGGAAATTGGAAAACTAAGTCAACTTCAATACACGATAAATTTTCAAAGGTCCAACTTGAAATGAGTTCTTGCCTGTTACTAAAGCCGAGTGCTCAGCACCTGCAGCAATGTGTATAACTTCCGTTTCATCAAGACTAGGAATTCTTTTCAGGATCCCACCCTCTAATTCTTCTGTTGAATAAAATACAATCTTCATGGACCAACTATATTTAATAGATTTAATGGATGCCAATTAGTACATAATTTAGTTTGGCAATGGTTATCTCTGGGTCCATACATCCATTATCTTTTTTTGGGCTCTTTGAAGTTCCAATTTTCACTCGATAGTCTACTTCAGAAAGTTAATGGATTTTATTAATGAAGTTTTCAGTTAGCTTAAGAGTCAGATTACCATCCTGCATTACCAGATGTGTGCTTCAACATGGCTGTTTTCTGAGGATCACCAAGTGCCCCATGATGATGGCCACCAAGCATAAACACTTTATGCTCACCTGCAAAAGGTTAAACAATATCCATTGGACAAATGCATATATATATATATATATAGAGAGAGAGAGAGAGAGAGAGAGCCGCATACTTGTTAGCACTAAAGCATGGTTCCAACCAAGAGCAACCTGGTTGAATGACAAATCTGCAGGAAAACAATGCGGAATATACGAATCTGAGGCACCATGAAACCCTCTTCCCCATGTGTACAGATGTCCACCAGCTAATGTAACATTGCCAGCAAAAACAACATAAACGAAAACAAATAAAGGGAATAATCATGATGCCTGAATAAGATTCTTAATCTGCTTTGAGTTTTAGCAAAAGTTTCTTTGCCTAGACTGTGCAATACAAGGTCCAGCATTATAAATAACAAAATAAGGTGTGCATTGGCCTTTAACAATACGTGACTCCAAGATTCCAAAAGTAGGCAAAGTTGTTCTCCATTATAGTCAGGTACTAGAGCAGTTTACCAGGTCATGGATGCCAAGTTGTTAAGAGAGTTAAATGTGGGACTTACAAGATAATGCCGCACTATGATCTCCACTTGCATTGATACTGATGATTTTGACATCAGTCAATCCCAAAGTAATCTGAGGAAGACTTGCAGATTTCACTTTATTGTTAGATATCCCCAGTTGACCACGCTTTCCAGAACCAAATCCATACACTTGATCTCGCAAAGGATCTGCATCAACCAATATTATACATCAGATTCAGATCTATAGCATTGTTGGTTAGAATTAGATTTGAGATCATACAAGTTGAAAATGTGAGAATATTATCAAAATTGTGACAATTCTTGACAACTAAAAGAAAAACATAAATGATCCTTTTTTTTTTCTTTTCTCCGTTCACTTTGGTTATTTTGGTGCACAGGGGCTGGAGGAACGAGAACAGAGACTTGAAAAGAATCCAGTAACATTGTACATCAGTGTTCTCGTGAAGAGACATACATATTTGTAATTTTTCTATTAAGTACTCCCATTTCCTTTTGAGGATTGTGAAAATCCAATCGAGAACGATGGATTTTGCACTATGGAGGGAAGCCAAGGTTCCAAGTTTAGTAGAACCACAAATGTGATCCTCTGTGAATGTAAAAACTAACTTGGCCTATTTAAATTGTCTATAGTGTTGTTGGTCTACTATTGGATTGAGCAAATACATCTTCAACGGTATACAAGAAGACCTGAAGATTTTCTCTCGCTAAACAAATGAATAGTCCCCTACTGGTTGAAACACAATATTTGTTGAGTTCGTTATTGAACTACATATCCTATTTTGTTTTGTTTAGTTAGAGTCCCCTTAGGCCACCAAGGTGAGTACCCGGCCGTAAACTTCAGGGTCTCGTGGGATTAGTCGAGGTGCGCGCAAGTTGGCCCAGACATCCACGATTATAAAAAAAAATAAAAAATTCTATTCCGGAATAAAAACAACAGCAAATATCAGGCAGCAGGAACTTGTCTGTCACTAAGATTGCCCTAGACCTTCATTATATCTTCTCAGTACAAGGATATTTTATGCTCTGTGTGTGTCCCAGTTGATGTATATATTTGCTGTAGACCCCTACTGATGATAGGATTGATTCGAAGCAAAGGAAATGCTTCTAGAAGGAAATGTGTTTTAGTGTCCTTCATATATGACTATGTTTGAACATCAACCATCAGTTGTATCATCTTCTTTCATCTTGCAACTGTTTCATAAATTTATAACATAGCAATTATTAGTGGCCTTAAGTATGAGCAGAAGCATACATTTCACACATATTTCTTTACTTAACAAATCTTACAAATATGACTAAACCTTAAGTCCATGTAAGGGGAGATGCCAAGTATCTCTCCTTTATAAAAACACTACATTGGTACTAAAATGCGAAGACCTTTCACATATTTTTTATTTAAGATAGTATCTACTTTGAGTTAATAGATCTAGTATCAATTTTAAACCAAAATTTGTAACCTAAGAAGCACCAACACGGACACGATGCCAACACGCGATTTAAAAAACTCAAACATGGATACGTCGTCTACAAATTGATTTAAATAATATTGTTTAATTTTTTTAATTTAATAGTCTAAAGTAATAAGGCTTTTTTATACTTATTGCATCAAATATAAGTAGTTAAATAACCAATATACTTTAGAAGTTTGATTGTAATTGGTAAAATGGTAAATTGGTTAAAAAATTTGCTTCCTTTTTAGACTTAAAAAGCCTTCCTCTTGATTTTTGAATTAAGGGTAAAACAGTAATTAACTTGTTAAAAGATAAAGTCAATATTTAATTTTTTATTTATTATTCATCCCAAACACACGTCTCTTCACTTCTTTAATGCCTCTTCATTTTTTCAGCCGCTTCATGGCACTGCAACAACCCAAACTTTGGTAACACCTCACCACCTATTTCACAAATCAATATGACTTCCTCTTCTTCTTCTTTAGTTCTTCTTCGTAAGAGCTGTCGAAAGGGCCTCCAACATGCGTTGAAGACGTACTGTTATCGAGTAAGTGTCGGACACCGATATGTAGCCGCCAGCAACGTGTCTCTGCTTGTAGATATAATTTTTTATTCGTATACAACAAATAATAGTTTTAGTATCCACTAAAATGAATGTCGCAATATTATCGATATCGAAGAGGTTAAAATATGGTATTAGATACACACCTTCTAATTGAATTCATTTATCCTAAGAGGTTAAAAAAGTTTATGATTTCTTGAATTCATTTAATTTTTCTCTTTTCTTTTTAGGTTTTTCTTCGAATAGAGCGTTTTTTAGAGACAAGACGATAGATGATCACTTTTAAGTTTTATGTTAAATTAGGAGAACTTTTCAGAAAGATCGCTATCCTTGTTTGTTTAAAATACCCACTTTATAGATCAAAACTAATTTAACCTAATTAAAAATGGCCAACAATCAAAGTAGAAATTCAACTCTCCAAACTTGAGGAGTTGGGCGAGTATGGAGAGGTTGTCGAGTAAGGCAAAACTCAAAGCATACTTCTCATTTTAAATAACTCCTCCATCCCAAACCTTTCCAGTTCCCATTAAATCCTTAAATTATTGCAACAAACCTTCATAATTAATGTTGCAACAGTTTTATTTAATTATTAGAAGTTCCTTTTTAATTCAATAATTCTTCAATTTCCATGAGTAAAGGAACAGAGGCTTTAAAGATAAGCTATTGCATGCTCTTATTTTAAGAATGCGAAAATAGGAGACAAAGTTAATAGATGGAAGATGGAACATGTGGTAAAGAAAGAAACCGATGAGTATTTTTGAGAAAAAAAGGATTTCACCATTTTTCACTTTCTAACTCCTAAAATGTCCTTTTTATCAATTTTCCTCTATATTCAATAAATACATTCATATTGTTTTTGTTCTATCTCTGAGCAACTTGGAGACATGAAGTCGTTCACATAGTAGGAGAAACTGTTGAGAGCCAAACGGGTGTTATCTTGTAGCCAGTATTGACTAGTTAGTCCCTATCCAAATGGAAGTAAATAATATGACTATAGGACAACATTCAGCGCGACTTTTGAAAGGCCAGCTTCTATTAACTTTAGTTTATCTCTGTTCAAAAATTTGACGACAGTAATGTATTCTATACACAATAAATACATTTTTCCAACAAGCAAAACCTGCAATATCTGAACAAGTACAACTACACATGCACATACAGTCATGTAGTCTTCTAGCTACAACATATCATTTACCCTTGATATGAAAAATTGTAATTTGTGTATAAAAATTAATAATTTCACATAACAAGATTCAACTAGAAAAATGCTGCAGTGAAATATTTAAGCTTTAGTAAAATGATAGCTAAGAAAAGTTGTCCTTCAAAGAGTCGTATTGAACACTGTCCTAAAGTCATATTGGGCTCCCTTTGTGCAAGTAATAGTGGCTCAAAATGGTTCCATGTTATAATCCGTTTGACTCTCACAGGTTTCTTCTAACAGGTTTATAATCACAGGGAGATGTATAAGAAGGCCTCTTCGTGTTGCCCAAACACGACAACAAAATATGCAGCATTAAAGTATAATATGTGAAGTAGAATCATAAGTGTGTAGTAAGGTACGTAAATTTTATTAGGATGTAATTCTACATCTAAGGCTACACTTTAAACCTCTTTATACAGTACTAAAATGGTAACACCTACCCATATTAATGTATACTAATACAAATTATGATAATGGTGATAATAACATCATAAGAGTTGTAATTGTACTAATATCATTATATATGTATACCTAAATATAAGTTACAAATTTTAGATATAAAACTAGTATTAAATCTAAAATTAAACTGAATACTAACTAAACCAAAAATAAGTGAAGCTCTAAGGCATTTCAAATTGCAGTTCCAACAAGAACAATCAGAATTCATGTCAAAACAGAGAACTTGTGATGTAATGAGAAAAAATATATGCTCTTTGCTTGAATCTTCTCGCCAATGAAATAAAGCCCACGAAAGTTTCTTGTAAAATTACCTCTTAGTAAGACCAGTGAATGACGCATACCACAAGCAACTTGCTCAACATGCTTAGAACTGAAATATGGGACTTCTATTGGTGTAAATTGCGATTTAGAATGACCATGCCCAAGCTGACCAAATGAACCCTCTCCACAGGTGAATAACAAACCGGTGTCTGAGAAAAATAGTCAGTCAAGAAAAAGTATCCAAACACAATCCTTCAGAATGAATGCTCAACATAGTATTTAAGCCTTTAAAAGATTAACTTTTATCAAAGTTGAAGCTATGATAGGAAACTTGGAGATCAAATTCCGGAATCGAAATTGTGAATAATGAATGTAAGACATAATCCTATTTAGGAATTTGTTGCCACCCACCAAAATATATAAGTATTAAAAGGGGCATCAATTTCATCATCATACTCTCGTTTTTAGCAATCTAACATCTAACTGGCTTACTAAATCAAAAAAATCACCAGCAAACAGGAAAACTTCAGCAAATATACGAAGTACTAAGATTTTAAAATAATTAGACCAAGCAAAAAATATAGAATAAGGCATCATTTTCATTAGTCTATCATGATAAAGCCTTCAACTTTGCAGTCCTTAAAACTCTTAATTCCGTATCTTCCAACTAGTTATTTCTACAAGCAGGTGGGAAAACCTGAAACAAATCCAGAGTGGTTCCAGCCAGCAGAGGCATGAGTAATAACAAGGCCTTCCAAAGCCTTTACCAGCTTCGGTTGTAAGCTGTCAATCATTTCCCCATGGCCCAATTGACCAGAATTGCCCCTCCCCCATGTCAACACTATTCCATCTGCACCCATAAACATAACCAATCACAGAGACAGAGATAATGGATGGTGAAAACATATATTCCATTATTGTACATTACATCCAAGCTGTATACATAAACAATACATGAAGCTCTAAAAAAAAGAGACATTTAAAGCCTAATACTAAGCAATTATATTGATAACGCAGACAATTGTATCCTGCACTTCTTAAATCTTAAATTTTATCTTAAAAATCTCGAACTTTTTAATGTTGAAGTGAGGCATAATTTCAAAAGACATATTACTTCTAAACTTGAATGTTTGATATTTGATTGATCTTAATTTGTGGGTCAGGGTGATTCTTTCTAATACCAGACAAGAAAACATCAGACATAAAGCAAATCGTTCGCACACACAACAAACACTTAAAATAGTAGTAGTACCAGGGATGAGTGCAATGACATGGGCGCCGCCGCAGGAAAGGGAAGAGATTGGGCCAAAAGAGGAGAGAGAGTGGAGGAGTTGAGGGCTGTGCTCATCTTGAAGCCTTCCTGATCCTAGTTGTCCTTCTGTACCAGCGCCCCAGCTCCAAATTTCTTGTCCCCTTTCTTCTTCTCCTGCTGTCTTGTTTTCCTCCATCGCGTTTCACCGCCAACACACACACTGACACACATACACACCGGTTCCCCTCTTTTCTTTTTTTTTTTTAAAAAAATAGCCTTTTATTTCTAATAAGAAAAATTACGGGCCGTTCTCTTTGTGTTTCAGTTTTGTGTTTTGAATTTTGAATTCATTTTATGTTTTCTGTTTTGAGTGTCTATTTTGAAATTACCGAAAACTCGTTTTCTTTGTCATTCTGAAAAACCATTTCTCAAAATAGAATTTTTGTGTTTTGTGTTGTGAATTCATTTTGTGTTTTCTGTTTTGAGTGTCTGTTTTGGAATTGTTGAAAACTTGTTCTCTTTGTCATTCTGAAAAACTATTTCGCAAAATAGAAAATTTGAAAACGCGTTTACTTTGAAATTTTGAAAATCTTTGTTTATAATATTTTATTCAATAATTCTGATTATTCAATAAATTTTAATAAGCATTTGAATGCTTATTATTTCACTTTTTATAACCATTTGAATGCTTAAAGATGTGTGAGTATAGTCATTTTGGCGAATTCCCCATCTCGGTCCGAATTATAGTTTTCAATTGTTTTTCTAGTTAAAAACTTCAAACACAAGCTTGCTAGCAGAGTGATTGAGGTGCTATGCCTTCACCTTAACGTACAAAGTTCAAACCAAATTTGATCAGTTCTATTGCACCTTGGTTTAAAAAATAAAACGGGATAACATGACAGCCCAAGTCAGTAACAATCAAACCTACTTTAATGCATTTATTCAAATACAAACTTGAATGCATCTTTAGAGACTAATTTGTGACTGCAAACATATCTTATCAAAGGGTACTTCATTAGAATTTCTAGAATGAACAGCGCTCCTTAAGAGTTCATTGACAATAAGATCTTAAAAACTGCAATCGAGCTCGTACTGAACCGAATCAATTTTATCCTTGAACATATGAGAGTCATAACTAGAAAACCAAGTATCACAGTTATATAGAGCATGATCACTAAAACAATTTGTTCCACAACCCACGTACAAACACTTCACAGCAGAAAAGAGAAATAAACTTCCAATTAAACACACTGGTCCCCTTCGTAGATACAACATGCTGGTACCAGGCTCTCAACTATCAAGCAAGCATTGAATTTTCAGTGGCAGATGTCCAAACTATGTCTTTAAGTGCAGGTCTCAACTCTTCATTGCAGAATCGATTGTACTCCAAAGTATCACCCCACTAGACTTCTTCACCTTCACCACCAATAATGATGGTGTCACAGCAAATATATCTGCAGTTAT